ATTCAGCAAATATCTATAGGCATTCTACCTGGGCCAGGATCCTTTTTAAGGATAAAATAGGTATGAGATGGAGTGATTTGGAATCCCACAGTCCTGGCAGGATGACAGCCTTTCCAGAGGTCAGAAATAAAGGCAAGTTTCAGGTCCCAATAGCAGTAACCTCCAGGCACCCCACGATCCCTTCATCAGAACCCTCCATCTCCCACAGTTCCCGTTCAGGCTGACCTGTGTGAATGGGCTGTTTTATTTTCCTTTTCCCACCTGACTAACTCCTTTTTTTTCTAAGGCTCAGCTTTAAGGAACACCTCCTCTTAGAAACTCCAGGCTTCTACTGTGCCTCAACAATTCAAGCCGTCAGGGACCATCTCCCAGGGCTCCCTCCTGGGTTCAGATTTGTACCTAAGCATTCCTTTGCCCACCCCACCTTACACACCTTAGGAAAAACTAAAAACAACAGGAGAGATTAAAATTGGATATGAGGAAGAGTTTCTGGAAAGGGTGTGACTATTGCGGGCAGGAGATAGACAGTCGCTTTCCTGAGATGATTGCCTTAGTCACCCTTCAGGTCCAAAAATGAACTCATTTCTGTAGCTCAATTTTCAGCTAAATTTGTCTATAAGGGGAACAACATCACTGGGGAGGGCCACATTCCTTAGAATAATCAACCATTTGAGATCAAAAGAACAGTATTTACCCAAGGACAAAGTTAAGAAGGCAGGAAAGATTAGGAAAGGAAGAATGAAAACAGGAAACAGAGGGAGGAAGTGGGATAAGTGATATTCCACAGTGGGGGTTGCAGTAAATGACAGGAAACAAAATGTATATGAAGTGTTGGGTGGAAAACTGATGTGCTCTGTAAACCTTCACCAAATTCACAATAAGACTGAGGTTTTACCTTCTGGAGCATCCTGCTTCAGTGTTGTTCACCAGGGGTCTGGGATGCAGGCTCGAGGACTGCTATTCACCTGGTCATGGAGCATGGGTCCAGTCACAGGCTTAGTTCTGAGACAAGTCCTTGGAGCCTGTGGCATGAAAGAGAAGACAATGGCCATACACAGGTAAGGGTTTCTCCAAGGTGACTCACTCTCGCTCCTCCCACCAAGCAGGAGAAACTGTCCTGGGAACAGAGACATCTTCTGCCCTATCCTCTCTGCTAGACTGACGTACTAAAGTTTCTTACAATTGGCAGGGAGGGCCAGCTGGAGTCAGTTCCTGATGCTCCAGGAAAGCAGTTGTGTGGGCGGGGAAACCAGAGCTCAGCCACTAACCTTGGGTAAGTCACATCACTTCCCTGGACCACCTTGGTTGTTCACCTTTACAATGGGAGAGTAAAATCTACCTCAGAGGGAGCCGTTCTGAAAGTAGGTGAGGTCATGCTTAGAAAACACTGCACCAAGTTTAGGGTGTGTGCTGTTAGTACTACTAAAGTCTGATAATCCATTAGGGAGGATAATCAGGTGGGACAATCCAATCAACTACGAGATGAGGATTTCACAGGAGGAGAAGGTGTCTGAGAGACCACTTATTATGAGGTTGGGTCTTGAACAATTTCTAAAGGACTGTAAGTAACCCTCAGCTCCTGATGTGGTACTGTAGGATCAGAGCTGGTCTGTGAACCATAAAGTTGGCAGTTCAAACCCACCAGCTGTTCCTTGGAAACCCTATGAGCCAGAACCAACTCGCTGTGAGTTGCAATTGACTCGACAGCACTTAACAATATAAGTAACCCTCAGACTTGGAGTTTTCCAGGCAAGAAATGATAAGGATGAAAGATGTCTATACTGGCAAACATTTTCTTAGGGCTCTGAGTACAGAGATGGGGACTTTCAAGGACAGGAGGAAAAAGACAACGCAGGCATCAGGACTGTGTTGGACACATTCACCCTGGATTATGATTAGATCAAGTCTGAGGGCAGCCATACAGAGAATTCCAGAGACTCAAGCAGAACAAAGCTCAGCTGGGAGCTCCTTCTAAGACAGAATCCCAAACCCACAAGCCCCTAGCCTAATTACTAGAACTCTCCATGCCCTATACAGTTTCCTCATCTGTGAAATATAACAATGCCCAGATCTCCCAGTGCTGAGTTAAGTATTAAATGGGATATCCACCCATTGGCATTTAGTGCATTCTGACTTACAGAGACCCTACAAAACAGAGTGGGATTGTTCCCTAGGATTTCCTGGACCGTCAATCTTTATGGGAGCCAACAGTCTCATCTTTCTCCCACTAAATGGAAAACTACCTATAAAAATACTACGCCAATATTAGCTATTATGATGGAATGTCAGCTCCCAGTCTGAAGCAAGTCAGTTAAAAGTGGTTTTCTCCAGTTCTCCTAGCTCCTGCTCCACCATAAACTTGGTGGCTAAAACCCCATAGTGGCTGGGTGGATTCCAACTCGTAGCGATGCAATTGGACAGAGCAGAACTGCTCCATAGGGCTTCCTAAATTGTAATCTTTACCGAGGAAGACGCGCTGTGGCTCCGCAGGATAAGTACTAGACTGCTTAACCACAAAGTCCGCGCTTCACTTTAGCTGCTCTTGCGGGAGAAAGATGAGGCTCTCTGCTCTCGCAAGGATTTACAAGCCTAGGAAACTATACAGGGCCACTCACTGAGTCAGAATCGACTTGATGGCATTTAACAATCTTTATGGAAGCAGACTGCCACATCTTCATCCTTCGGAGCAGCTGGTGGGTTGGAACCACCGGCTTTTTAAGCTCGCAGCCCAGCGCTTTAACCACTGCTTCAAGAGTCAAGAATTTCTGGAAAGGGTGTGACTATTGCGGGCAGGAGAGAGACAGTAATGAGAAGGTGAAATAACCAGTCAAGGCAAGCAGCAACCTGATCACCAGCTCCTCCTCTTCCCCAGGCTGTTTCTGTTCTCAGGGCAGTGGGAGGGCTGACTAGGAGAGGAGCTGGGGACGGGGCGGGAATCGGGGACTCCCCATCAGGGCAAGGTGCCCGCCATGCCCAGGACTGGGATGCCGCTCCGGAAGCACCTGACACGGGAAGACTATGTCCTTCCCAGAAAGGTGGACATGACCCCAGCCAAGGGCGCAAGTGCCCTGACGCCTCCCGGGGCCAGTCGCTCCGTCCCGGGTCCCCGTAATCCCGAAGAGGAAAGGGCTTCAGGACCACCCTGCCAGCGGGGACCCTCCCGTCTGCCTGGACCGCCCCCTGCCGGCAAAATGGAAAGGTAGAAGGGGTGACTGAAAAGTCTTGGGTTTAGGCAGGGGCTCCCAGCTGGAGCTGGGTCACCTCCTTGGATACAAGAGGAACAAAAAGAAAAGAGAAAGGGCTCTTTGGAAACGGGACTGGGAGATGTCCCTTTCTTTCATCCTCAGCTTTCTCAGCAAACCCGTGTCCCTTTGCTCCTTTAGGGTCGAGAAGGGCTTCGGATCTGGGCTAAAGGTGGCACTCACCGGTCCCACGACCCGAGCTAACACGCGTGCGTCCCCCGCCCGGCCCGTCTGGGAGGGCGGGAGCCCGGCGAAAGGCGGCGGGAAGAGCCTGGGGCGGGAGCAGAACGGGAGGAGGGAAAGCCGGGACCGTCAGCTCGCACCCTGCCGGCTAGTACCCAGGCCCAGAGGTCGGGGGCTGGCCGACTCCTCCCCCGGGGCGGGGCTGCACACGCGGCCGCACGTGGCCCGCCTAGGACTCCTGGCTCCCGGCGGGGGAGCTCACACTAGGACTAACTGTTGAGATGCTAGGGTGAAAGAAATGTGACGGTAAGGCGGGCCTCCCGTGTTCCTGGGGCAGAGGCGCGGGAAGCAGGGTTTCCTGGGTTTCCGGGCCAGGGATTGGGTTCTTTTGGTAGCCGACTCAGTGGCCGAATCTTTCTTCAGGTCTTCGGACTCCATCACGCTGACGGAGCCACACCTTATGGGTCTGAGGGACAGTTGTAAGGCGACGTGCCTTTTGCATTCCTGGACACCCCTCTGACAAACTAAACCATGACCACGATCCGAAAGGATCTGGGTTAGACGACCCCAGATTATAGAAAGATGAGTGCCGGAGGGCAGTGGGAAACAAGCGCCACCATCAGCCGGCCAGCAGGGGGCGTGCGCGCAATCTGAGGCCCGGAAGAGCGGGTTGCGCGGGCCGGAAGGGTAGCCTTTCTGGAGGAGGAAGCGGCTTGCTCCGGCGTTAATCTGCTGGTGCAGTTTGAGCCGGGCGGCCCTGCCCAGGTAAGGGACCTGTTGCTAGGGGCAGCCGGGACCATCAGGAACGTGTCGCGTTGTAAGGACTGGGTGCAGCTGGGGCGGAAGTGTGTCAGAAAAGACTCATTTATTCAGGATCTCTCCCAACCCCCCCACCCCCCGCAGTTCGGATTGGTTTGTTACGGTGACGTATTGTTGGTGGGCCCAGATCTCTTATAGTGCGCTCATTCGTTTGACCAGTGGTGTTCTGGGCTTTGTGCCACCTTTCAGGTTTTGGTTTGGGATGGCCGTTGTGTTGTACCATAGTCAGTAGATTCAGAGAGGGTCTGAATAGAAAACACCCAAGAGTACGCATAGCTACCTACACACGCTGAATTTGATTTAAAGCTATTAGTTCGGTGTACTCAATTTTCATTTAAAAATCTTAGGGACGTAGCCTCTGAGCTGTAATAGAAATGCTTGTCTGGCTGTGCTGCCATTTTCAGGGTTTGTATCTCATTCAGTTTTTTGTGAGTCTGCCTCCTACTGAGAATAACTAAAGCTCCTTAGGTCGTATTTAAGATGAGCTTTTAAACTAATAATTTCCAACGTGTTAGGACATCCCGGATCCGAATGCGTCATTCAGCTTCTTCCCAGAAGCCTTGGGAAGGAAATTACAAGTTCTGCAGCTGATTTGAAATCCCTTGAAGCTATCAACAGAAAACAGTTATTAGAGAGCCTAAAGTTCTGCTTTGCAACTAGGATTAAGAGTAAAACCAAGACAGGCCAATTTCACAAAAACATTGGTTTCCATAAATCCATTCCTTTGCTATTTTGTTTTCACAGGAAGAAAAAAATATGGCTCACAAGCAGATGAAGGAAGATTTTGTCAGGAATCTCAATGGAACCACTGCCCTGGAAATCATCCAGAGCCTGTGCTTGCCTGCCCCCTGTGTCCTGTGCAGGGGGCTGCTAACTATTCTTGTCCAACACTTCTGTTCTTCATATACCTGGAGAATTCAATTCTTCATTGACTTTGTTGTCCTGATAGTTCCCCTGGTGGCCTCGTTCACCATCTTGTCTTCATTCCTCCTCCTTGAGCAGTTCACTGTAATTATCTTTGGGACAGGACTGGCCTATCAAATATACTGCAGGAGAACCTGCTATGCCAGAGTGCCTGTGCAGAATATCTATGAAAAATTCTTGAAAATCCGTCTAGAAGCAGAGTACATTCCAGCCATCACCTGTTTCCGGGTAATTAACAGTGTGCTTACTGCTATTGCTATTTTGGCTGTGGACTTCCCACTTTTTCCCAGACGATTTGCTAAAACGGAGCTCTATGGGACAGGAACAATGGATTTGGGAGTAGGAGGCTTTGTTTTTGGGTCTGCAATGGTTTGTACAGAGGTTAAAAGAAAATCTAACATGCAGGGATTTGGGTTTTATCAATTTACAAAGTCATTGTACTCTGTTTGGCCATTAGTTTTCCTAGGAATAGGGCGACTAGCCATTATAAAATACATAGGCTATCAGGAACATTTGACTGAATATGGAGTTCATTGGAACTTTTTTTTTACCATAGCAATTGTGAAATTGATAACATCACTGCTTTTGATTATTTTCCCCCTAAATAAATCTTGGATTGTGGCCATCAGCATTACTACATTGTACCAGCTAGCTCTTGACTTTACCCCACTAAAGAGGTTAATTTTGTATGGCACTGATGGTAGAGATACAAGGGTTGGTTTGTTAAATGCCAACCGAGAAGGGATCATCTCTGTTTTTGGGTATTTGGCAATATATATGGCTGGTGTACAAACAGGGTCATATCTGTTTAAAAACAGATCACATATCAAAGATTGGATCAAAGTATTGTGTTGGCTTCTATTGATAGGTATTAGCCTTTTCATATGTCTTTACATAGTTCAGACAAATATAGAAGCAGTATCTCGGAGAATGGCCAATTTAGCCTTTTGTGTCTGGATAGTTGCTACTAGCCTCATTTTTCTTAGTACTTTTTTAATTGGTGACCTCATTCTGACTTTTGCCAAATTTCTATTTAAAGGGACTCTAGTACCATGTTCTTGGAAACTTAGCCAGTCACCTACTACAACTAGAAAGCATGCAGACTCTGTAGTCCCTGAAGCTGAAAAAAAGAGAGCCAGTCTTTGTTTAATCACAGCTATCAACAGAAACCAGTTATTTTTTTTCTTGCTGTCAAATATAACAACTGGCTTGATCAACCTGATGGTAGATACATTACACAGCAGTACTTTGTGGACCTTATGTGTGCTGTATCTTTACATGCTTATCAACTGTTTAATTACATTTGTGCTGTATTTGCAAGATAAGACTATAAAATTTTGGTGATTGATATGGGTAGAATTCATCTGTACTTGGACAGTATTTTAATGGAGAGTATTAAATATGAAAAAAAATGTGCTTTTGGCAATCTACCGTAATTTATTACAAAATAAGTTCCAACCCTTCTCTGTAACAAAGTTGATATATACTATTTTAATGTATCTCACCACTATAAGCCAAACCAAAAGAGAGGAAACAAAGTTTGTAATTTGTTACAATGTTTATTATTTCAAAGAAACTTACAACTTGAAGGTTAGTATTAGGATTTTTACTTATCATGTTATACCATTTTGAATTTTTAAATCTTAAATACAGGGTCGCTATGAGTCAGAACCCACTCAGTGGCACATAATCACCATTCTGTATTTTTAAATGGTATGTATAGCTTTTTTATGTTTTACTTAGATTTGGGCTTAAGTTTACAGAGCAACATTTCCTACACATTTTGATTCATGACATTCATTGCAATCCCCACAATTCAGCGCATTCTTCTGATACCTGTTTCTTTTGTCCTTCCGTATTTCTTGCTGCCTTCTGAAGTTGGTTCTTGTTAAGTGCGGTGGAGTCTGTTTCCACTCATAGTGACCCTGTAGAGTTTCTGAGGAGTGACTGGTAGGTTTGAATTGCTGACCATGCAGTTAGCAGTCCAGTGCTTATCGTACACCACCACACCAGGACTCCTTATAAGCTTTCTCGGGCAATGTTGCCCTTTGATCACATATACTTGCTTAGTCTAGACTTATAAAGGTACCAATAACACCTCTTTATAAACCAAGGAGGTGTTACTGGTACCTTTGTAAGTCTATTGTTTCGCTGAACGTTGACCAACAGAAGTGGTGTGAAGTGTGACCAAGGGCCACTCTTTGGGATTCTACCAGTGTTAGACCATAAGCCTGATTTTTAATGATTGAGTTCTGTTCCACCTTTTTCTCCCACTCAGTCCGGGACCTCCCGTTGTGATCCCTTTCACAGTGATTGTCAGTGGTAGTAAGGTACACCTAGTTCTCAGATCATGGAGGTTGGGCTTCCAGTGCTTCATTAGTTCTCTGGAATAATCATTTCCATGTGTCTACATTTCTTGACTCTACTCTGCATGAGGAGAGAACAATAGTTGCACCTTAGGTGGCCACATGGTAGGTATTAAAGAAGAAAAAAATGTATAAATTGGGTGAAGGCTTGCAGAGGAATTCAGCTTTCCATTCAACAGTCCATACACAGTTTCATGTCATTGATTGCAGTCCCCACAGAGTAACATCACTTAGCCCACTTTTTCTGTGCTTCCCATTCCAGTCTTCCTTTTCTAACCATTCTGAACTGTCCTTGGGTAAATGCTTCCCTTTTGATCTCAAATGGTTGATTATTCTAAGGTATGGGAAGCTCACTAGTGTTACTGTTCTCCTTATAGACCTGTCTATTGTTGGAATGGAGTCCTTGGTGTGGCGTATGGGTTAATGTGCTAGGCTGCAAGGTTGTTTGAACTGGAAGGTAGGTGGTTCAAGCTCACTAACCACTCCTCAGAAACCCTATATAGGGTTGCTATGAGTTGAAACTGACTCAACAGCACTTAACAACATTGAAAATGAACCGTGGGCGTGGGTTCATATCTATACCTGAAGGGTGACTAAGGACCATAGTTTTAGGGTTTATATATGTTTCTTTTATAATAAAGTTTATATTTAAATATGTCAATATGACTTTTGACCTTTATTGCTCAACTTTAATAGAGCCTAAGTATTTGAAATTGATTGTTAAGTACCATGGAGTTGGTTCCGGCTCTTAATGTATCAAGTATGAGGTGCTAGGGATAAAAGAAAAAAGAGTCTTTGTCCTCAAGGAGCTTACATATTAACTTGTAGTCATTTTTCCTTTAAAAAGAAAAAAAAAATCTAAGTGGGGAAAATGAATCTATTTTTCACATATCAACACCTCCCACATCAGCTTATGAAAAAGGAAATTAAATTCACAGATGCTCAGATTTGGACCAATGCAGTTATTTAAATCATACTCCGCTGTAGATTTTACTACCATGTGAAATAACGTGGCTGTCACATCACGGATCAAGCCTATCCCCTCAGTACACAGGGTTGATAGGGACAGGCAACTTAGACATTGATTAACAAAAAATGGGAGGACTATAAAGGCACGAAGTAGCTGGCTTACAAGTTTTCAAGAATGTGCGCAATTTCGGAGTAAGGGGATAGGGTAGGATCCCCAATGAATAGTTTTCTTCTTGTCTATATGGGTCTGGTGAAAGGGAATGGGGTAGGATGTGGATACGATTCTTTTGAATCAATAGTAATTTTTATCATGACTAATTGCAATGGTCTCAACTGTAAAGGTAGAAGATGTGTAACAAAAAGGGGGGGAGTAGTTAGAATCTTTCATTCCAGGTACAGAGAACCTTAGGACCATCAAGCCAGGAGAGCTGGAGTAGAGTGAGATCTTGACCAGAAAAGCAATGATACCAGAGATGGCAGCAGAGATGATCGCACAGAGAGAGCAGCGGAGGACTCTAGACCTATGGAAAGAGAAAGGCTATGCACCAGTAAACAGGAGGCTGGCTTGCAAAATGTGCCCTTTAAACAAATACATATTTTCTGTGTGTTTGTGTACATTGAAAAAAAAAAAAAAAAAAAGGGACTAGCGGCAAATACTGTTAACTGATGGTGTATGGAGGGGAATGTAATCATTGCAATGAAACAAAATTCAGTTGGTTGACTACAAAACTAATGTTCTGCCCTATAAACTATCACACAATAAAAGGTTTAAAACAATGTAATAACATGGGTATGGTATTTGACAGCAAAAAGGGACTCATCAGGTTTAAAATCAGGAAAGGTGTGCATCAAGGTTGTATTCTTTCACCATGATTTATTCAATCTGTATGCTTAGCAAGTAACCTGAGAAACTGGATTATATGAAGACTAGGCATCAGGATTAGAGGAAGATTCATTAACAACCTGCAATATGCAGTTGCTATAATCTTGCTTACTGAAATCAAAAAGGACCTAAAACACTTAGTGATGAAGATCAAAGACCACAGCTTTCAGAATGGGTTGCACCTTAATGTAAAGAAAACATCTTCACTCATGGACCAAAAAATAACATCATGATAAATGAAAAGACTGAAGTTGTCAAAGACTTCATTTGCTTGAATCCACCATCAACATTCACAGAAGCAGTCAGTCAATAGGCTTCTTTAAAGTGTTCAAAAGCAAAGATGTCAGTTTGAGGACTATGGTATGCCTGGCCTAAGTCATGGTATTTACAATAGCTTCATTGGACAGTGAATAAGGAAGACCTGAAGAACTGACAAATTCAAGTTATAGTGTTGGAGTATTATAAATGCCATGGACTGCTAGAATAAACCTGTGTTGTAAGTACAGCCAGAATGCTTAGAAGCCAGAATTGTGAGACTTCATCTCTCATACTTTGGACATATCAGGAGGGATGTCTCGAAGGTCATTATACTAAATAAAGTGGAGGAGAAGGTACATATTATAATCTTACATTTAACGATCAGAAAGTCCTGCCCCCCGCCACGATGATGTTAAGTTTATTAGGGAAGTTGCCTTCTAGTCAATACTAACAGCGATGCTGTATGGGGTTTCCAAGCAGTAGCTGGTGGATTTGAACCAGACCTTGCAGTCAGAAGTCCAGCGTTTATCCTACAACGCCACATTGCTAAGTCAGTGAAAAAAGGAATACTCCCAAAGAGATGGCTGGGCACAGTGGCAGCAGCAATGGGCTCAAGTTTAACAATTATGAGGACGGCGCAGGACCAGGTAGCGTTTATTCTGTTGTGCCTAATGTCGCCAAGAGTTGGAACCAACTCCATGGCACCTAGCAACAATAATGGTATTAGAAACATAAGGTGTTTTAATAAACTGCCAATTTTTGAGAACATTAGAGTTAGGAAGAACAGTACCTTACCTAGGACTTACCTACTTTAGAAATGACTTTAATATACAATTATAAAGTGTGCACGTAATCCTGGTATGGTGCTATAGGAAAAGTACTGGACTGCTAAACTCAAAGTTTGTGGTTCAAACCCACCAGCAGCTCTTCAGAAACCCTATATAGGAAACCCTATTCAAGGGCACTTAAACAAAAATTGGGCATATCTACCACACTACGGCCAAAGATGACAACCAGTTTTACTTTGAGCATCAGTGTTCAATGTTGTTGTGTGCCACCGAGTTGGTTCCAACTCATAGGGATCTTGTGTAGGGTTTCCAAGAGCAGCTGATGGGTTTGAACTGATGAGCATGCAATTACCGGTCTATTGCTTATCCTACAGCATCAGTATTCTATGTTATATTGTTGTTAAATGCTGTCAAGTTGGTCGTGACTCATAGCAACCCCGTATAGGGTTTCTGAGGAGTAGCTGATTTGTTTGAAATGCCAACCTTGTGATCCAGTGCCACACCAGGACTCCCAAAGTTATGTAAGTTGTACAAAAACATACTTTGCTTCCTCGGTGTTCATGTATAGTCTATGAAGATTAAATATAGTATGAGTTACATTGGTGTTCATTTCTTTTAAGATTAGGTAGCATGAGGAATATTGTTTTTTTTTTTTAATTTTGGAGGCTGGGTAGAAGTAAGGAGTTAGGGTTAGGACTATGGCTAGGTTTAGACAAGGCCTACGACTTCATTTAAAGTTAGGTGAGAGATTCGTCTTCCAGATTACTGATTTGGCCTTCCATTAATTTAATTCTACTTTGCCCTTTCAGTGTATTATCTATTTCTAAAATCTTAGTTATTTCTAAAGCCTTAGTGTTAATCTTCAAGGAGCTCTGGTAGCGTAGTGGTTATGAATCAGGCTGCAAATGGCAAGGTCAGCAGTTCAAAACTACCAGCTGCTCCACAGAGAAAGATGAGGCTTTCTGCTCCCATAAAGATTTACAGCCTTGGAAACACTGTACAGGGTCACTATGGGTAGGAACCGACTCGACGGCACTCAACAACAAGTGTTAATCTTCTGACTTTGTGATTGCTGTTTTT